GTTCATCATTTTCAAGGCAGCAAAGGACAGTCAGTTTCTCAGAAGCACTGCAGGTGCCACAGAGTCAGAAATTTGCAAACCCCAAATCATTTCTTTTCCATTGCTAGAATACATATATGTCCAGGTGAAACATGAGATAACTCAAAGGGTGAACCAATGCAACAGTGATACTCATTAGACGCTCTGTTGGAAGTGAGCTTTACAACTTGGGGAAGGGAAAGGGGGAGTGGCAGAACATGAGGAAGGCGGGCACTACTGCTCAAAAAATGTGCTCATTATCTTAATTATGTAAGTGTAACACCTTTACAATAAAATTGTAAAAAATTCTACAGTAAGGTATTCGCAATGTTCTGGTACATTTTTTTTTTTTTTGATATTGAAAGGAAGAAAAGAAGAAACAGATGTGTGTGTGTGGGGGGGGGGGCGGTGGTGGAGAACGTTTCCCTCTTTTCTAAGGCCTAGTTTCGATGAGTGGAATTGACTACAACCAAAAGAGATAGTCCTAGGAAATCTGAGTTTCTGACCAACCTCCACCACAAGAGGACCCAAAGCAGATCAGCTTTTGTATAGGCATTCCATTCTCCCATACCTAAGATAGAGCAGTCATGAAAATAAAATGCATACCAAGAGGTCCAGGGAGCTTACCCAAATATATTACCATTCAGGGAATGGGAAGCATGTGATAGGATGTAGAAGTGAATGCTTCCCTAAAAACAGAACAGTAGTTATAAAAACACTTAATGCGCTAGCCACAATTTATGGTCTTTTATATCCATTTTGACACCAACAATGTGGACCACAGCATCTCTGCTTTCCTTTGCACAAAGGCTACACAGTCCTTCTGAATCACTACGATGCTCTGATCTCTAAATATACCAGTATATGATGCTTTAATTTTCTCATTGTGAGTGAGAGAAGACATTAAATTTTCAAATACAAAGGACTCAATTTTGCTAGAGGTGGGTTATACGAGTATGTATTCCTAGGTAGAGTATAGCTCCTTCACTCTATATCCATCTGCTATTCCAATAGTAACTGATAGGAGAGTAGTTTAAGCATTTTAGATGATCTCCTAAAGTCATCACTTCCTTTTATCAATGCATGAAGATAATTAGGAATTTCTCCTAGGGTGAACCTCATGATCATAGAGGTATGGAAGAAGTTATGTAATCACTCAGATAATGAATGATACTTAATGTGCTGACCCCAAATTCTAGTTGGGGAAAATGGACTCAGGGTGAAGAATCTGATCTGTGAAGCCAGATGTGACTCCCATGCAACCAGGGCATCCTAAAGATCAGGGGTGAGGCCGGGCGCTGGTGGCTCACGCCTGTAATCCTAGCTACTCAGGAGGCTGAGATCTGAGGATCGCGGTTCAAAGCCAGCCCGGGCAGGAGAGACCGTGAGACTCCTATCTCCAATAAACCACCAGAAAACCGGAAGTGGCGCTGTAGCTCAAGTGGTAGAGCGCTCGCCTTGAGCTGAAGAGCTGAGGGACAGCGCCCAGGTCCAGAGTTCAAGCCCCACGACCGACAAAAAAAAAAAAAAGATCAGGGGTGAATTCCCTTCTCCTGTGGGGATTAGGATTCGGCAGGGACAGGAAACAGGGAAAACCAGCAATGTGGTTAGTGGTCTTGTTTAACATCTGCCTTCATCTTCCTCTCAGTGACCTTCAAAAAGGAGTTCATATAGATGTAGTTTCCCAATTTGTATTTGTAGCGCCACCGGAATCAAATGGAAATAGTGATCAATCACCACCCCATCCCTGCTGCTACCCCAAAGAACCCATGGACTTTCAAGTCTGACTTTCTTTCTCCAGAGTATGGCTTGTTTTATGACTTGTTTTAGTGTTGAAGTGATACTCTTGGATCCTGGTAAGCACAGGAAAGTCGTCCTCTCTCTTTTTTTTTTTTTTTGCTGGTCCTGGGCTTAAACTAAGAGCCTGGGTCCTGTCCCCCAGCTTTTTTTGCTCCAGGCTAGTGTTCTACCACTTGAGCCATGGCTCCACTTCCACTCCTGGCTTTTTTGGTGGTTAATTGCAGACAGGAGTCTCACAGACTTTCCTGTCTGGACTGGCTTTAAACCCTGATCCTCAGATCTCAGCCTCCTGGGTAAGTAGAATTACAGGTGTGAGCCACTGATGTCCCACTAGGGAAGTCTTCTCATGCAAAAAGTCCAGATGGGCTTCTGCCACCATTTGAGGGAAATGGCTTTCTGATACAATCAATAGTTACCAAGTGAAGACATGTTAAGAATGACATACTAGAAAAAATAATTTCCCAAAGTATTTATAACTCCTATCAAAAGCTATACCTATTAATACCATTCAAGGCATGTAAGAAGCCATAGAGTAATGTGTAGTAATAAGCCTCTGTATACCTAGCTTAAGAAACAGGTTAAATGTACAGTGAATGTGACTCTCCTCACAGATAATCCTTTTCTTTCTACCTTAAGGCCTCTGAAGTAGCCATTACTGTAAAATCTATAGTCATTATTATAAAGTAGGTGCTGATGTCTATTTTATTCAAATAAGACTTAATCACATATTTACATATTTTTGAGCAGGAGGTAGACTTGAGTGTTGGCCTTAAAATTTTTATAGTTACATTTTAATGAGTATCTTTGAAAGAAAGGGCATTGTATTTGTTGTCCTATATCTCAGTTCAGATTTGGAGATGAAACACAGTTGAAGGTTTATAATACAGTATCTTCATGGTTAAGTTCTGATAACAAATATTGACCAGTTTTCCACTGAAACAGAGAGGCAGTTAAGTGATCCCTGTCAATATGTTGTATAAGAATAAGAATTACAGAATATGTCAGCATTAAGGCACAATGACTTGAAAATTCATTCTATCACCCACAGAAAGTATCTTGAGACTTAAATTTCTTTTGAGGTTCATAATATTTCTGGGTAGCAGATGCTTCTCAAAACCAGATTTTACTTTAAAAAAAATCAAATATAATTAACACCTTCTACATAAAATGAAATCTTTGTTTCCAGATGCATTTCAAGGTGTTGAAATTTATCTATGCTGCTTTGTATGACTAAGCGTTTCTACCGATGTATGGTAGCAACCACCAACTTTGTGTGACCTGTCTGAAGAATTAAGAATGAAAGGAGGACATTTAAACTTAGCTATCAAACCAGGATCTTCTTGAGAAAGGTCCTTTGACATCCTGCACTGGTACTGTGCTTGAACTCAAGGCTTTGAGCTTGCCCAGCTTGCTTATTCAGCTGATGCTGTACTACTTGAGCCATGTGTCTAGCCTGGGTTTTTCTGGTTACTTTTGAAGATGGAGTCTCACAGACATTTCTGCTAGACCAGCTTCAAATTACAGTCTTCTAGACCTCAGTATTCTTAGTAGCTAATATTACAGTGTGCTACCAGTACCTAGGTTGAAACCCATTTTTTGAGGCACTACGGATCAACTTGTCCTAAACAAGTAGGTTAAGGACTGAATTTAGGAACAAAAATTTTTATTATTTAAAATATAGAAACAAATAACAAATATTGAATAATCATTCTAGATATTTTGTCAGATTTTGATAACAACAAAATTTTAAAAGACAATGATTTACTTTAAAACAATAAAAGTCATTGAATTAAGTAAGAACAAAAGATACATGAGAAATTTTCAAAAACACATACTAAAAACAAAAATAATGTGGGCATTTGATTTCTTCTCTAAAACCAAGGGAAGCAGGAAATAATCAGTCAAGCTGGAATCGTAGTGATCCACCAAGACTAACAAAATAACAATTATCTATGTACACAGGTACTCACACAGATACAGTCATGGCTTTTGCAGTGTTCAGAATGCTACATTTATAAAACTATTGCTTAAATGCATTAGAACCAAATCTGAAGGTATAGTTTTCATGTATCATAAGGTATATGGGAAGGGAATGATGGGCATAGGTAAAGACAAAACAACTTGAATAATAGGTACGGGGGGAAAAAAACCCTATGTACAGGTCACATTCATTATTATACTTGCCCAAAACCAGGATTATATTTACATATTTTGAATGTACTTGCTGAACAATATTTAATTTTCCTCCACCAGTGGGTAAGGAAACATATGGATAGTTGTGCATATGGGATCTTTATCTATCATAATATTTTCAGGATAAAAATGCACAGGAAAACGAAGCATTGTTTCTTGGCTACAAGATCTATATTATCTTAGAATATGTCATCTGTGATACATCTCGTTAGAGGGCATAAAGTACAACCTTACCCAAGAGAAGTATCTATGAACTTCTTATTCATATTTATGTATCTTCAGTTGGCTCGGAAATGGAGCACCTCTGCCAGATTGCAAGAGGCTGGTGGTGTGGTGGCCCATCACATACTACGGATGTCATACTGGATGTGGAGAGGAATCTGTTCAAAGACTAAGCGTGTAATTTCTGCTTTTTCCTTTATTGAAATTCCAGGACTTATGGACTGAATGACTTTCATTGGTCTGCAAGGCTGCCTCTATCCTGACAGTTATGCCTTGCTCCCTGACTTTCACCTATTTCTTGCTTTTGCTTTTGCCACATAGTATGTGGACTCTATTGGGCTTTGATGCCACAGCCTACTCCATCTTGAATGCTTGCTAGAATTCTCAGTCTTCTGGAAGCCAGAGAGCAAGCACTGGCCCTTATCTGGCTATCTCTCCCTGGTGGGTCCTCACGATGCAGTGCATAGAAGGTATTTATTTCAAAAGCTAGGGAAGTTATAATTTACCTGTCAGTAAACAGAAGATGGTTTATCAACAGACTTTACCTTAATGACTACAAATGTTTACCTCCTGCTTTTCCAGAATGCAAAGAAAATCTTGGAAATGTCATAATATCTTACAAACATTTGCAAAACAGATCCATGTTCATCCAGAATAGAAACAATTGTATTCGTTGTCTCTGACAAGGAAAATGTTCAGTGAGAAATATACAGATAGATGCACATACTTCTACGTAAATGAATATGCTAATTAAACACTGCAGTAGGCACTTTATTAAAAATTTATTTCACAATCTAACCATTTAAAACATTTTTATATCAACAAATACAGAATCAGACTATCAGAATCATGAGTGATGTATCTTTCAAATATTATATTTGTAGCTGGATGCAGATATTTTTGAACAATATTTTAATCAAAACTGCTAGTTTTGTTAGAAGTATTTTGATTTCTCTATTTTGACTCCTGGAAAAAATTAAAACAAGTATCTCAGTGTTCATTTTATGGGTGAGAGGGCTCCACTGACTGTATCTGCCATGTTTGTTGGAATTACAGCTGTTTATCTTGCAACTTTCTTTAAGATTAATTGAATGCAAATGTAACTCTGTGAATCATGGGAATACCTGCCAGACTTCTTATTAATACCTTCACTTAAAAATTTCTGTGCCAAAGAGTCATTAATTTGCTAGAGGAAAAATGCTAAAGCAGCCCTTTGTCCACATTTTTGAGGTGGCTGCCCAATTAGTTGGGGCACATTCGGAGCCTGCATTCAGACCCTGTGGCCCTTTGAGGACACAGGAAGACTCCGATGATAACCTGGCAACCCAGGTAGAAACCCAGCCAAGTGTGAGCGTTTGAAGCTGCAGTTTGGCTGCCATCGTGTCGGCAAAAAGAAAGAATTCAGGCACCATGTCATCCAGTACAAAGGATAAAAACGGATTCAACCGGAAATTCAATGTGGCACCACATATGGGATACATGAGTGCGGTTATACAACAGGCCACATATTTTTTTTGAACAGTCTCCTACATGTGATGCCGAGGACATGTGTAACCATCATAACGTCTCTAGGAATCTGTATTTAATTTGAGTTGGGGTGGTGGCAGGGATTGGAGATCTGAAGCCGCCACAGGTTTGTGGCAGATGGCTCTGTGTCAGCTATGACAAGCAGCCAGGCTCAGCTTCCTCTGCAGATTTTCTTTTCTCTCTGATCAGGTAAATATGGGCACACTCTGGAAAGTTCTTCAGATTCTGCCTTAGGCTGCAAGTTTGTGACTTAGCCCCATCTGTCACAAATCTTCCTTAGGTTCTCTTGTAAGCAGAGACCTGAATTTACCATGTAGGGCTGCCCAAGAAAACGGAGCTATTTCACCCTGTAATAAGGGGGAAGGAGGGAAGAGAAAGCAATGAAGGAGCATGAACCACTGAAACATGAGAGAAAGTTGAAAACTCATACTGCAAATCTGCATCACTTATATTTCAAAAAGCCACCAACTAAGTGGTTCTTGAGTTCCATCTCCTCAGGAAATCTCTGTTTCTGATTGGTTTAAAGTGTCCCTATTAACTAAAGGGAGAAGCTACTATCATTTTTTCACAAATGAATACCTTCTTCTCTGTGTGTGTTTCCTAGTTTATGTTATGGATGATTGCTATTAGAAGTTTATCATCCAACTTTTAACTTTTATAAACATGAGGTACACAATATTCTTAAAGCATGTTTTTGCTAATGTGAATTTTACTTTTAAGCAGTGAAGACACATGATAAATGCCATTTCTATTACAGGGAATTTATATAGTACTTTACATTTACAAATGGGTTTATATTCATTATAGCACTACCTCAGGGGGGAAAATGCTATAACTATTAAAAAATTCTTCTAGATTTGTAGATCAATCATATAGAAACCAAGAAACCACCTACAGCCAGGCTGCAAGAGAAGAGCAGAGAAAGACACAAACAAACTGACATAAAATCAACCTACCTACTGTACTGTTTCTTGCTTTTATTTTATATGGACAGAGCAAAGAAAAACCAAAGTAAATAAAAAATGTAGGCAGGAAGTGAAAAAGAAAGAGCAAAAGAGAGTGAGAGGAAGAAAGAATACATACACACACACATACACGCTCTCTCTATATACATATATACACACACACAGACACACACACACACAAATATGAGGAAATGTTTGAGACATAATTTGCCTTCAATTTTGCTGGTACAATTGAGAGAATTTAGTCCTGAAAATGTCACAAGCACTTAAGTTTTCATTTTCAATGAGAAAGTATGGACTTTGGAGGAGTGCTGATACCATTGAACAATACTCTGTTCACATCTAGAATGTAAGCTTTTATTAAAAAGGGACTCTAAAGCAACCCGTCTCTTGAAAGAAACTTAAAGTGGCTTGGCTGTGGTTCGGATAGATGTAGCCTGACATAATTACGACAACCACAAATGGCTTTTCTGGGCATTTCATCTGAATTATAAGCTTAATAATTGTTTGGAATTAGTTTTAGGCAGAAATCTGAAAATTATTTTCTCTTCCTAATTACAGAAGATGATAAAGTTCTCTGGTCTGTTGCAATACTTGAAGAGGAAGACAAACTAAAAATCAAGCTATCACCTGAAAAATCTTTAAAGAAAACTATGTCATTCTCAAAATGCAAATGAAAGAACATTATTTCATTCCTTTTTGCCACACAGAATATTGTTCAGTTTGTAGATAAAAGTAAAGGGTAAACAGGGTAAGAATAAATTCTTTGTTTCTCCAAGTGTTGTCTATCTCATAGAACTGCTTCACTGAACATACTCTAGTTCTGTTTTCAACACTGACAGAGTACTAATGTTTTTAACATTAAAAAATAAAATGATTAAAGACTATACTATCTGAAAGAATTAAGTGCTAAGCTCAAAGAATAGGTGAAAAATTTCAAGAGGTAAAAATCATACAGTAAAAAAGGGCAAAAATTGACAACTTCATGATACAGACAGATTCGCTTGGGGTGGAAAGGATAACTATTGTTAGTATAGAAGTCAATCTATGACTTGTGAAAGTTGTGTTCTAAAGAAGATGTAGAAGTCTAAAAAAGTGGACGAAGTACAATCAATTGTTTCTATGCAATTAGATGGTCAACACATGTATCTAACAGGGAGAAGAACATACCTTAAAAGTTGAAAGTATAATATGTTTTTAAGAAGTTATTTTAGAATTCTAAGATTAACAGACATTTAACTTGTGCATACATTGGATTTCTTTAAAGATCTTAAGAAAATCGTGTGTATATCAGAGAGAGAGAGAGAGAGAGACAGACAGACAGACAGACAGACAGAGGGAGACAGAGAAAGCACAGACAAGAGAGGACAGCTGAATACACACAAATTGATATGTTAGTACTGAAATAATTTCAGATGAGAAATAATGGACACAGAATTCAGTACTAAAAGGAGTCACTTTAAGAAGAAAAAATTGTTTCTGCTCTTCAGTAACTAGCATTCTGTTTCAAATTCTGCCCCCCAAATTCGTCATATTGAAAGTATAATGTCTCATGTGAGAAGAAAGCCAAGTGTTAGTAGCCTTATTCCAGTCATTAAATTTCTATGTGTGAATCCATATGAAAACGCCTATCCTAAAGTGAACTCTATGTGAAAAGGAGTTAAAATGATTTTAAAATGTAAACTTTTAACAACAAAAAAGAATAAGGTGTAAAATTGTAAAACGAACAAATTAAAGAATTCAGTGACATTCTATACTTTTAGATCTTAGAAGCATATGCTATATAAAAGCAAAACAGCACTGTCCAATGGAATAAATCTTATAAAAGCCTCACATTCTCTTTGCAGAACACACAAAAGATCCTCTTCAGTTGTATTTAAAAAAGAGGCAAAAAACTACTTTGAAGAAAATAATTCTTTTGTGTGTGGGGAAAGCAAATGTTACAATGCATATGTGCACTTTTACAAAACATAAGGTGAAAAATTATCATAATTTATTGTATCTTTAGAAGGCATTATTTTGTTTTGAATAGAAATCTTTTTTTTTTTTAAATCAGGCCAATTTTGCTCCTTCCTATAATTTTTAACTCCACTCTTTGCAGAATGGTAGTTTCTCCTAATAATGCCTGATAAAGCTCTCAACCACTTATAATTTTGGACTAATTTCTTTGATTTTGCACATTAACTTTTAGATACAAAATCACTAAAATCTCTGAATTAGGACATACATGAAGGCATTTACAGATTCATAATTAAAAATCTATGATAAAATACTTAAATTATACAGAGTACATTTTTCTAAACACTTATGCATGAATTACTAATTTATAAAACCTGAAGTCTGAGGATTTTGTGATGTACAATCTAAAAATATATGCATGTACCAGCAGGTAATAACTCAATGAAGTAATGTTTAAAGCATAGGTATAGTTTAAGTTATATGAAGAAGAATTTTGTATATTAACATCATACCATTAAGTAAACATTCGCTCACAATTTTTCCAGAAGTTGTTTGTAAAACAATTACAGCTATGTTATGGCAGTAACTGTATTAAAATACTTCAACGATAGAGCTTCTTTCTTTTCTCACTAGAGACAACTTGTTGCAATAACTTTTGAAATGGTTAAAAATTCACAGATGTAGAATAAAAGAGTTAACAAGGCCTAGCCTAAAGAAACACTTAAAAAAAAACAAAACTGATAAATTTTGATGGCAGAAATACATTCATAAATACTTCTCCAAAAATTCACTGGGACTGGAAACAACAAAAAAATCAACTTTTTTTTTTTTTTGAAAATAGGTTCATGTCATGTGTAGAAAATGCATCAATTAATATTTCACAATCACTTTGACTATCTCATGGGAAACTATCCAATGTGTGTTTTATACAAACAAAACTGATATTGAACTTTAAAAATGAGGATACACTGGGGCAAACCTTGGAGGCCTACATTCTCTGTGGGGCTTCGTGTGTAGACGATACAATGGGATTGACTCACAGAGTGATCCTGAAGCCTGGAACTGTGCAGTCAGCATTTTAAACTATTATGAGCTACCTTCTGAACCATTGCCAAGTTAATAGACAATGAAAGATAATGAGCTTGAAATTGGGTGTTAAATTGCATTTTTGGTCTCTCTCTTTTTCTTGAAGTTTAACTGTTTCCTGGAGAAACAAAGTCATGTTTTGATATATCACTATGTAAATATGTATTTTAGGCCATGATGAAGGAGAAATAAAAGGCAGAGAACTGTACTTCATGTAGAAGGTTATATGAGTAACATAGGAAAATTAAAATGTTATAAAACTCCTAAATTGTAAACTATACAGAATGTATGCAAAATGAAGATGTTACATTCAAAGAATATAAAAGGATATTACTTATGCCCTAGAGCCACCTTTGAAACTCATAAACCAGATTTATCCTACTTCAATTACCTTGAGCTACAGTAGGGCCTCTTTGTGTGGCTATTTCAACAACGTAAAATTTTTGATTCATATAAGGGACAGGATAATGAACGAGGGGGCTGAATGATGATGCTATTTATGTATTCTATTTTCCTCTTGCCTTTGCCACTCACAGATGAGACTGACAATCTTCATTCTAAACAAACTGAGGACTTTTATGTCATGTTATTAAACAAGACTGGAGAAATACTCAACTTTTGAAAGTCATCTTTATAGTAGTTCAAAAAGCAAAACCAAATTTCACTAATGTCATTCACCTGAATTTTTGAGGACTCAAGATTTCATTATGATGGAAAGAAAGGCTTGTCCTCATTAGTATAATTGTAGAATCTCTTCTTTACTTCCTTTTAAACTAATGAGTTACATTAATCCAGGTTCATTTTTATAAGCCTCTTGGGGCTAAATGTAAAGGACAGTCATCTTAGAAAACAATAAATTAAAAAAAGCATGTACTGTGCATTAAGTGCACGTACTTCATAAGACCTAGGTTAATACAACTGGCATCCAGTTTAATTAATCCTTGTTAGTGTAACAACTAATATCCCTCCCTAGCATGTTTCTTTTAAACATTAGTATGTTAATTAAATGTTTTTTTTAAGATTTTTTTCTTTGTATTTCAATATGGTATTTATGCCACATAAATCTCTTCTCAATAGCTACCTTATAGAGATGTTTCCTTACAATATCTGGTCTCTTGCAGAAATTCTGGAGTCTTTTTGAAAGCTGTTCAGGTGTAGAATACAGATATTCAGCTGCAGGAAAAACAGATACATTTTTAATGAAACAAAAACCTCAAAGCACACACTCGATATTAGTCACTTTACTAATTAAAAATGCATATTGCTCTGTGCCGCCTCATGTTTTACATTATTTAAGCATGATTTTATAAGGTTACCTCAGCTCACAAGGATGTTTAATGCTAAATAAGACTGTGTAGTTGTGCTGTTTAGACATCTCCTCTGGGTGATTAAAATACATTATTCTAATGTAACACAATGCATATGTGATATATTTAGTGATGAGGATCTTTTCAAAGAACTGGTACTATAGCCGTATGTACCCTGTACAACAGTTGCATATTATTAACTAGTCAATTGTTTAAATAATTTGGTGTGACTTTCAGTCCTTGATTTTTCTCAGTGTATATCATTAAAAAAATCTGTAAGCAATTGGAGCTACACTGACCTGCTTATAAAAATCTATCATTATGGGATGTGTATGCTAACAATGAAGAATGCTATTTGAAAACTAGCTTTTTTGTTATCTTAAAAGAACAGATGGTAAATATAAGCTTACTCTAATGTATTAAAACACATAAAATTTTCCTTAACACTAACATGTTGACTTGCCAAACAAACAATTGCTCCTGCCTAAGTTTATTTTCAAACTTTCTAAATTAGCATGAATCATGTATTAAATAATCACAACAAAGATGAAAGCACATTAAGGCAGCTACCTGGAAATATTTCGGGATAAACCAAATCTTTGGGACAAAGTGGATAACAACCACAGTACACAGCTTCCAACCTAGAGAAATTTTAGAAAGAAGATACAAACATATTTTTAAAAAGCCATTAGCATTATAGACAGAAAGTGGTTCTATTTGTCTAAGCTAACAGTGTGAGCTCAGAGTTAAGTGGGACAAAATAGAAGGTCGGCAGTACAATCCTAAAAGCAGAAGTTGCTCTTTTAAAAGATTTTATTGATCATATACAAATTTCATAGAACAGAACCAACAGCATATGTTTTGTTCACTGAATTAATCAAAGCTCAGCACTGTATTTTTTTGTGTTTTTAAAATACTGTTTAACACATTTTATAATCAGCAGATAAACACATGTAACAACATAGTAAAGTATGGACAGCTTTTCCTAATAATGCTGCAAAGATTCAGAATGTTCATTTAAAAAATGTTTAAATAAAATAGCAATTACTTAACTTTAACACTGAAGCCATAGAAATGACTGAGGCACTTTTAAAAACAGCAGAAAAAAAAAATCACAAGCTGTTGTGACGGGGCATTTCATTTTAAGCTCATGCTTTGAAACCATTTGTTATTATGCAAAATGTAAATCTTTGTTCAAAAAAAAACTCATGAAGATTCCTTTAATGAAGATTTTGATTTTTTGTACTAAAAATTCAACCACACTTTCTTTCCATTGTATCAAGAAAGTATAATTGTATTATTAAGCAAATAAGCACCCAAATTTTGCATTGTGAGATTTCCCCACAGACACCTATGGAAAGTTTCTGCACATGACCATGGGAAGGGTTAAGTAGAGGAAAGGTACTGTCTCTAGATGGTTGTGTTATGACCACATAATGGCTATTGATCTGACATGTAATAAAGATACCACTGCCATTTCTGTTGGCTAGAAATTATGCAGTGAAATTCAAAACATTCTTTTATAATATGTTTATTTGATGAGAAACTTTGAATTGCATCCAAAATGTTGACCAAAGGCAGAATTTATTTTGAACTGCAGATTTTTTTCAGCCCAAGAATTAATTTGAAGTCATGTCAATGTTTACCTTGTTTATTTACAGTGACAAAGTACATGAAATTTAAACTGTTTTTAAGTGAGTGCTGTTTTCTGTATTTTATTACCCTAAACAAATTAGTTTAAAGGCGAAGTATTTACTTTGAGCTGCAAAATTTGGAGAAATACTGGGCTCCAAGTTTTGACTGAGAATTATGAGAAACGCAAGATAACAACAGTAGTAGAAAGGCAAAGGCTCTATGTACAAACTATTAGTTTCAGAATCCAAATTAATAGTTAATTTTTTTTCTTACATATGTGGTACAACACATAGAAATCTGTAATACAAACACACATATATAAACCATACTGTATTGTACTGTAAAATATTAAGGAAACTTTTTCGCAAATAAACCCGTGATATATTTCATGAACCACAAGAAAATATGCATTTTATCCAAAGACATTCAGTTTTTAAACACTGTGCCAACAGAAAAGCAAATGCACAGGAACATTCTCTTGTAATTACATAAAATCAAGAGTGAAGTCACAGGCATTTCAGAGAGCGCACATGTTATCTGTTTTTTAATAATAGATTTGAATTCAAGTATTCGGTTTCCCGAAAGAAAAAGCATAGCCCAACTTACATTTTGATTCATTACATGAGTAGTTACCGTGCCATGTCCCAAAAACCATTGCTAATTAAAATACCCCACATTAAGATGAGGACAGAATTATTAGATTTAGAAAGAAAAAATAAAAAATTTTGGATTTCAACTTTTACTTGTAAATTATTCATAGGTATATTTCTAATTCATCAAGAAACAACCACTATTTCATTTGGATGTATTTTTCAACTTGTCAAAATATGAACTCTTATTATATATATTATTTAGATCCAGACTATGAGTCACAATACATGAACAAAGCTGTAATATTTAAAACAAAATTTATACATCCACTTTCATAAGTTTCTCATGTTTTGTTATTTTGAAAAAAAATCATCTCATGGCAATAATTCATCATTTCGATCCTTATGCACTACCAGTTAAATAATAAATAGGGTTCCAATTGATCTATTGTTAAAATGACTAGCAAATGACCTTTTTATTCCAATTAACAAATCATCTGCTAAATCTATGAATCTTAATATTCAGATCTATTCACTTCAATTCATACAATTTATCTGCAAATAGTTGTTGGGCTTTTGATTCTAAATATAATTAGCTGATAATTTTGCTTGGCTGAATTACTTTTCTGGAGGGCCTGCAAAGCTCTCAGTCGCATTATCTAGCAATAATGAATCTGATAGGTGAAATTTTTTACTGTAATGAGGATGAGACACAGTTGTGACACCTGAGTCTACTAATAACAGAAGACTGCTAATTATCGACAGCACTTTTTTGTGTGATGCAAGGAAAAAAAAAAATCCCTCATTATTAAAAAATAAAAAGTTACAATTATAAGTGACACCGGAGGAGAGTAAATAAAATAGAGTGATTAAAACATTGCTGCTTTAAGGGTGTTTTTAATTAAGTGGAAATGCTAATGTTGTCATACTTAGCAGATGGGATTAAAATTAGTTATTGTAAGTAACTCATATTTTATGTTATGGTTTCCACAGCATGTCTACAAGATCTAAGAAAGTGATACATTCCATAAGACATTTTAAAAATGAAATTCTCATACTCTTTACAACTCATAATAATGAACATCATGAATAAACTATTGAAAAAAATCCTGCCAAGGATTTTACCATAGTGACTTAACTAGCAAGGAATGTAACCATAATGTACCGGACTGTTCCAGTCTCACTGATGGTATGCCTTTGCTTTTCTGATTGTTACGTTCCCTATTTCATTCACACTCAACAAAAACAAAAGTTTGGGACTTGGGCATTCAGCCAACATCAAATGTGGTGTCAAGAAGGTAGGGCCTGGATACAAGGAAAGATCATGACCACCCACTAAGGTGATGTTCTAAACTAAAACAGAGGATGCATCATGTAACTGCAGATAAAAACCTAATTGCACACTTTCTCCTACTTTATTTGTGTAAAATTTTCCATCTGCTACATCTAAAGATGTCTAAACTGTTAGTATCAAACCTGCATTCAGCTGCCAGCTGTGCACATTAAGGATTGCAAAACACTAAGTAAATGAGCCAGCATGAAGCCGAGTGGTAGTGGTCCATCTGCCCAGGGCTGTGGGGAGGGACCCTGGTACCTGGTCCTTTGCAGAAGCCTGTCTTTGCTTCAGTGGGTAAGAAAGAAAATTAGCCACATTTCTAAGTGTCTCCATTTACAATACCCACTTCATCTGCATTTTCC